GCTGCGCCACCAGGGAGGGCCATCTTTCACTTTTTTTTAATATCCTTCTAACACATTCTCATTCTGCAGCTGCACTGATCTTAATAAAAGACAAGTTGAATTATGTGATATCTTTCACCCCTTTAAAATTCTTAAATAACTTATTGTTATTCTTAATTGAAAGATCAAAACCCTTAACGTGACTTGCAAAACACTTCACAGTGTTCCTATGCATATTAAAAATGGCCATAGATTCTTCTACAAGTCTCCTAGAGAGAGGTGGTGGCTACGGCCCTCTTTCTGAATCTAGGCAAGTTCTGTAATTATTTGGACTATTCAACTACAGTAGAAATGATGCTTTCCAAGTGACTGTGCTTCTCCTTTTTGTCTCTGAGAACATTCCTTCTGGGAACCCTGAGATTCAGGTTAGAGTCTGAGGTAGTTCTGATAGAGAGGTCAAGGGTAGACATTCTGATAACATCAACTGGCTTAGGCTGTAGTCTAGACAGAGAGAGAAGGCTGGAAGGCCTTGAGGAAACTTGATAAAACCTGGGAGGCTGGGGGGGAAGGGAGGGAACTGTCCTTGGAGACTGTAGAAAAGGAAATTCTTCAGTGTAATGGCAGAATTTGGACAACATTCTTCCTTAAAGTCACATAAGAAACAGAAAATATACCTAGTGAAGTGAAAGATTTTTGTAAGGACATTTCATGGCAGAATGTTTAGTGCCAGTTGGTTTTTGAAAATAGTTGGATATAATAAAGCAAAGTCAGAGATGAGTTTTAAAAAGAGTTATTCGGTTTTCAAACAAAATTTGGTGGAAATAAAGAACTAGCACTTGTGGAAAAAAAGAGACAGGGTTTCACGTTCCTTTAGCCTTTTGAAAGGCAAAAGTCTTTCAAAGTAAGAAGCTCATTGAGGGTGAAGATCATTTCAGGGGTGACTCTAAGAACCATTTTTTTGTGACTTCACATTTAGTTGTACAGAAGAAAAGGCTTTTATGAATCCTAAGGATGCTGTCCCACAACAATCTGACTGAGTCCAGAACTAACCAGGGCCTGTCTTGAAAAGAATATGGAGGTATGTTTTTTCTAATGGAGTGAGAGTCGTAAGATGCATAGGGAGCTTACAAAGGTTTCTAGAGAAGTGTATTACTGTACCCGTCATCAGTTTGGGCAAAAATGGCACAAAGGCCGTTCAAAGTGAAAGACTTCTGAGGGTTTCCAAACTTCTTTGGATAAGTAATAGGCTAAGAAGATCATTTAGCTGTAATGACATTTCTCATGTGCCTTGAACTGAGTAGCCTCTCACCCCACTTATGTACTGAAGCCTAACTAACCTCTAATATGATGAAGAATTAGAGGTGGGGCTTTGGCTTAAATGAGAGCATGTAGGTGGGATTCTCATGATGTGAATTAATGCCTTTGTAAGAAGATGAAAAGAGAGAAAGAAGTCTCCTTTCTACACATGCACTGAGCAAGGGTCATATGAGCATACAGAAGAAGGGTGCCGTGTGCAAGACAGAAAGAGAGTTCTCACTAGGGTCTGACACACATGGTGGTATGTTGAAGACTCCTAGCCTTCAGAATTGTGAATAATAAATACTTATTATTTAAGTCATTCATTCTATGTTTGTTTTTTTTTAAAGATTTATTCATCTATGCATACAGAACTAGGGTACAGGCCAGAGGTGCAGGAGTGGTGAAAGGATTCCCCAG